AAAAAAAAAAAAAGCCATGAAAGCCTGGATGACATTACTGAGGGTCTGAGTGTCAATAAAGAGCCATTGGGTACAACTGGATCCTATAGAGGTAGGGCCTGAAACAAAAAGGTATCTCCTTCAAGAGACTGGAAAACAGAGGTGGATGGAATCTAAGTAAAAGTGCAAACTAGCTCTGACTCAGATCAGTTCCTGATTGGTTTCAGGAGACTTGATCCTCACTCAGTATAACTAGCAGAGGATACAGATTCTTTTTCTCTTTGGAAAAAAGAACATCAACTTCAGACACAATATTCCTTTTTATATACGATGTGCAGCATACAAAACACATATGTATATATAAATATGCAAAGAACCAGGAAAATTAAGAATCAGGAGGAAAAACAAACAAAGCAGACCTACAAATGATCCAGATATTCAAGTCAGTAGATTAGGACTGTAAGAACATCATTATAAATACGTTAAAGAAAATTAAGAAAAAGATGAACAAAATAGATGAAAATATAGAGAATTTCAACACAGAATGAGATTATAAAAAAGAATCAAATGAACATTCTAGGAATGGCAATACACAAAATCTGAAATTAATAACAAATTGAATAGGTTTAATGGCAGACTGGATATAGAAGCCAGGATTGGTGAACTTTGGGACAAGTCAATATCCAATATTGAAAAATAGTCCAACACAATTCCAGACAGAAAAAAGAATAGAGGGCCGGCCCGTGGCTCACTCGGTAGAGTGCGGTGCTGATAACACCAAGGCCCCGGGTTCGGATCCCATATAGGGATGGCCGGTTCACTCACTGGCTGAGCGTGGTGCTGACAACACCATGTCAAGGGTTAAGATCCCCTTACCAGTCATCTTTTTTTTTAAAAAAAAAAAAGAAAAAAGAATAGAAAGAGCAGAACCAAGTAGTAATGAACATCTGGGATTAAGCAATACAACATAGATATATCTGGCATACCAGGAAAGAGGTAGTGGTAATAAAGGAGAAGAAATACTGAAGAAATAATGGCTGAGAGTTTTCCAAAACTGATGAAAAACATTAACCTACAGATTCAAGATACTCAACAAACCCCAACCAGAACACCAAAAACAAAACTAAACAAAACAACAGCAATCACAACAGCCACTACCTCACATAGGCACACCATAAGTAGGCTGTTGAAACCTAAAGTCAAAANGTCATCTTAAAAAAAAAAAAAAATCTTTTAAAGTATAGAATATTGAGCTGGCCAGTTAGAACATGGTGCTGATAACACCAAGGTCAAGGGTTCAGATCCCCACACTGTCCAGCCCCCAAAGTAATAATAGTAACAAAATAAAGTATAGAATGTTTAAAACTACAATAATATCTATGTCTGTGGAGTTTAATACAGTAGTCCCCCCTTATCTGCAGGCGATATGTCCCAAGAGCCCCATTTGATGCCTGAAACCATGGATGGTATCGAACCCTACATACACTACATGTGACAGTTGATCTGATAACCAAGACGGCTGCTAAGTGACTGATGGGCTGGTATTGTGTACACATGGATATGCTGGACAAAGGGATGATTCACATCCTGGCCAGGATGGAGCAGGATGGTGGGAGAGTTCATCATTCTACTCAGAACAGTGCACAATTTAAAACTTATGAAGTGTTTATTTCTGGAATTTTTCATTTAATATTTCAGACCATGGTTGACAGCAGGTTACTGAAACCATGGGAAGTGAAATTGTGAATAAAAGGGGACTGCTAGGGCCGGCCTGTGGCTCACTTGGGAGAGCGTGGTGCTGACAACACCAAGTTAAGGGTCAAGATCCCCTTACTTGTCATCTTTTTTTTTTTTAAAGGGGGGACTGCTGTACAAGGAAGTAAAACATATGACAACAA